AAACAGTGAATGACCCGGAGAAAGGTGAAGGGCTGTGGCTTTTTGAGCAACTGACAATCTGCAACTCGTGTCAGGCACGATGAATTTGCAATGATGCACTGACCCCATCCCCCACGTGAACATGGTCTAAGCATTACAATCCGATTTCACCCCTCCTATTGCGGCAGGCCTGGTTTTGCTTCGTTCTCCAACCAGGTCCTCCAGTCGAGAGGCTAGAATAAGGGTACCCTTTTGTGTGTAGTCGATTTTTGTAGGGGAACCCTCCCCCAAAAAAGGGGAGAGAAGGGCACTGGGGGACCTAGCCGAGCCCCAGCTCTGAGGCCCAGAACGGAGGTCCTGCAGAAGAGAAGCCTGGGATCCAAAGCGATTAGGGCCAGGGTGAGGCATTGACCGGGTGTTCTCGGAGTGGAGTTCCATGGGTGAAGGATTTGCAGCCCTTTCCCCCCCAAAACAACCGGAAAGCACTGGAGGTCTGCAGCTTGTGAGTTGTAATAAAACCACAAGCGGGGGATGAAAGCCGGCGATTTCCACACGGACGGCTTTTGCCTCAGAGTTTGCCGGTATCTCATGACAGAGGCGTATCCAGCACATTTTTGGGGGGCAACCCATGCTCAAATTCAAGAGGGAGTACACCTGAAGGCAGTCAGGCCCTGCTGCGAAATGTGCATTGTACTAGTTGTGCCACTTTCCATCAGTCAAGTTGGCCAAGCTTGAACAAAAGATCCTGTCGGATTGACAGGGGGCAGTTCCCCAAAGTGACGGGTTCCCCCTTCAATGCACCCCCCCGGAAAAAAGTAAGCACAACAACTGGCTGGTGATTAGCGACTTGCATTTTGCTCGTTTGCTGAATGGCACGTGGATGAATGGTCTCCGGTAAACCAAGCAGAAAAAACCGCCGGGGGTGCTTCATCTGGGTTCGCTCTCTCGCGGGACGTTGGACATGGATGTTGCCAAGTAGCAGCCCGGTCACTGGTGGCCATCTCCATGTGACCCCCTTGAAGCACCTGCCGTCAGTTCTCCAATTTTAACGACACGACCCCGAACGCTTTGGGAACAAATCTGCTCGTCCCACTAACCATGGACACAATCCAAGGAACAAGGTCGAATGTACTGAATCCTTCTTCAGGTTTCATTCCTTGGTGCAGGAATTCGCCGAATCATTCACCTGGGGGCCAAAATCAGCACTGCGTTTGCTGAACATGCACAAAAACACATGGGGACTTGTCCACATGTCTGCCCCAAACGTTCCATGGTCAAACTCCCCAAATGTGGGGGCCCCACAGTCATAGTTCCCTTCATCTTACCATGGCCTTCCAACTCCCGAGAGGTTGATGGCCATCCCTACCAACCCTGGCACATGTGGGCAGAGTTGTGGGGTTTTGCTATTCCACTTCATGCCAAAGGCTTTCCCGATGACGGATTCTGCAGGGGGAGGCTCCCTGGTATAGCAGAAGTGATAGACCTGCCTGCAGCCATGCAAATGACTTGAAAATAGGACGTGATCGCCCTCAGAATGGCCGGCCTTCTCCTCTCTGTGAGTCGCCTACAAACACACAACCTATATTCAGGCGCCACGCGATCAAATTGAACTGAACAGCACCAAAAGGAAAACCAGCAACTACGACAGCCATGAAGAATCCAAGCGTCGAGGGGCCATCCAATCCAGATCCCGGAAGCAAGGGTTGGAACAGCCCCAAGGTGAGTCTGCAAGGGAACCCCGAAAAGGCTCCTTTTACACCAACCCCAAAAGAGGGCGCCCTCACAAAAAGACACCCCAGAAGTAGTGTGGCAAGCAGGGAACAAGGAAAGCCATGTAAACGAGTATGGTTTGTGGCTGATTTGCTCGCAATACTGGGGAACGCACCTTACCAGCGACTCACATACAAGGGGTGTTACCGCCAAAACCGTTCGGATCGGGGCTCCAATAAGACCCGTAAGCCGGCTTCTAGCAAATACAAACTAAACAGCCGAGGTTGCCTTTCTAACCGCAAGCGTCTTACAATTTGGAGCGCGGTTTACATGACCCCGGCGCAAGGCTCTGCGCTCCAGACTTGTGTTTGAATACTCTTCCTGACTGGCGTAGGCCTCGCCAGGGCTGAGGATATTGGGACTTCGGAGAAATGGGGAAGAAGAAACTGGCCAAGGCAGGCTGGAAGCTTGCAACAAACAATGTGCAACGCTTGAATCAGAGACTTCTTTGTTGCTGGTTTCGACTGCTTGTGCCAACATGGAGAGCGCGTGCTCTTGCAGTGCCAAGCGATCCAGGGTGGTCTTGGCTATACTCCAAACCGCTACCCCGAAGGGTTTAATCAAATATATGACCACTTATTATATAGCAACTACATAAAGGGTATACTCGGTTTGGGGTCTTGGAAACCATTGAAACACGATGCCCAAACTTGGCGCCAGCCTGCGCCACAGCAGACCTCGTCATGCCTGGCGGGCTCCGAAGGAAATCCACTCGTGGATGCGGGTCACAAGTACACCACCAGACTGCTGGTTATTGCCCTTGTTTCCATTTACCAGGTTCCGTTTTGGGAACCTGTTCTTGACCTACCAGGGTTCCATTTTGGGAACCTACTTTTGACCCACACCCATGTAGCTGTAGCGTGGCAGTGGGAACTCACTCTTTCTATACAGAAACACGGGCCCCCCCTATGACTACTTTATATTTCCCGGGTGTCACAAAAAGTGGCCTACCCGAATTTCTATCATCGCATGCCGTAGGACCACCAACCAATCTGACAGGGCTCCCAACATTCGAACCTGAAACCTTAGCAAACCCAATTCGAATTGGCTAAAGGTCAGGCGTCAAACCATCTAAGAGCACATGTAGGAGCCTAATGATGTGTTGTGCCTATCGGGCCCGTTGCAAATCAAACGCCGACTCGTGATGGTGAAAGTTATCAAGACGATAAACACTAAATGGGGAGGTTGTGTGTGTGTCTGTGCCTGCTTTCACTGAGCGGGCCTGTCTTTGCCCAGAATTGCTCCAAACCAGTCCGGCGTTTGAGGGGGCAGTCTTCTAATCAAACGTAGATTTGGTTCATGTTCCCTCCATGAGTGCTTTGCTTCTCAGTCTTGGATGAGCAACCCTGGCGCAGTGCTGCAGTCTTTGCCAGAAAACACCGTCTCTCGCGAACTTGTGACTACAACTAATGAATACAGCAAGTGAGCCACAACCAAAACCTAGTATCAAAGGGATCTATCCTGCCTTGCCCTGAGCCATAACCCTGGTTCCGCCTACCGCTTGTGTTCATGGTTTAATGCCCCCCTCGACACCTGCCAATTAGAAGCGTGGCATCGTAGAAATGTGCCCTTTTCTGTGCCAAAGTGAGCCATCCCAATGCCTCATGACTTTAAAGGGGAGTCCAAGAATATTACAGCTTGGCCAAACTTGGCCCCCCTAAAGTCGGCTTGCTGGTCCAAGGGAAAGATGAAGGACACCCAGCAGGGCCAAAGGGTTTCAACCACAGGCCGTCAAAAGCAACAACCCCATTTTGTCCACATTGGAAGGGTTTCGATCTCGGCCTGTGTCTGGCACGGAGAAGATGGTATTCACGAAGGCGGTCCTAAACGGACAAGGCTTGGGCTGTTGGCTTTGGAATGCTTTGGCTGTGGCAAAAGCCCTTGCTGTGATGTCGAGCTTGTTGATATGCCACATCTTACATGATTTTGCCACTTCCAAGTTGGGGATCCCACCGGTATCACAGAAAGTGGCCCTTAACCACGCCACAAGTGCTGTCCCAAAAGCAAGGTCAGAGGGGTAAAAGCTCGCACTCAGAACCCTGGGCAGCTCCAAATCTGCCCTTCAGGGACGATGACAGTGGGCCTTTTGACTTCCGGTTGCAGAGGTCTAAACGATTGACATAGGGTGACGTAATCACTTCCCCCTATTAATAAAGGTCTCCCTAATAATAAATATTTGTTTCGGAAGTCCCAAATCCGGGAATACTACTTTTAGTATTAGCCAATACTAAACCAATTCTAAAGTAGGTATTTTCCTGCCCGTACTCAAATCCAGCCCCATTAGGGGGACCCTGGGGGCACGTTTCCTTTACTACGGCTGTACTACAAAGTTGCGACCTTCGAGCCAGAGCTCCGGGAGCACGTTTCCTTTACTACGGTTGTACAGGCGTGCCGGCTACCGTACAGGCGTGCCGTGGATTCAAACGTCTCTCTTTCTCTTTCTCTTTCTCTCTCTCTCTCTCACTCCAAAAAGGTCCCTTTGAGTGATCCAAAACCCACAACCAAAAACAGCAAAACATGACCTCAACTCCCGCTATTAAAATTCCTTACTCGGAAATGTACGTTTGAAGCGATTTTAGGGACCGGAACAGGGGGACCACAGCTGCAGACAAGCCTACGCAGAGCAAGAGGTACCTCCAAAACCTGCCTTCCAGATCCAGGGGACCCCTAATAATAAAAAATGTTTTGCTGGCCGGTTTTTCTTTTTTTTATTAGGGGGGGGAGGGTCGTTTATTATTAGGGGGAAGGAAGGGATTACTGATGCACCCCTTTCTTCCATAGAGAATGTTGCTTCAAGTTGGTCAGCTGCTCATATCATGGAGGAGTCCTTGTTTGGGGTTGCAACCCCTTTTTGGGTGGCAAAGCGTAGATGAAGGTTAGATAAAAAGGGACTTCTCTGGTTCTATGTCCGGGAGGGATGCGTCTCACTCCCTGCGCTCCGCTCTTTTGCAGCCCAACCGACTTCCAAGGCAAGGCGAGCGCAAGCCGCTCCAGCCCTGCCCGGAATTCACGGCACCTTTGGCCGTCATCCCGTCCATCCACACCCTCCCCTGGAAATCAATGAATCCCCGCGAAAGAAAGGGGTATACAAGGTTTGGCGTCCACCATTGGATCCTATGTTTTAACACCCAATGGCGCGAAGAGTTCAAGGGATCCCATCTTCATTTGCAAAATGCGTCAAAAGCAGGGCTCCTGGAAGTATTCGGCTTTAAACAAAACACATGTTCCCCCCCCACCCCCTCATTTTTGGGCCCCTTTCCCACACATGACTCAGCTGGTCATCTGAAGCGCTCGTTGGACTCGGGGGACATGAGCTGTTCGTAGCTGTTGCTGAAGCTCCGCAGGAGCTCGGGGATCTGCGCCTGAACACGGCCGGGACCCGCCGGAACCCGGCTGTCTATCAAGGCTTGGTGGCTCATGGATCCCTCTAGTGAGATCAGGCACCACAGAGATAACTCTGGGATTAGCGAGATTCAGTTTAGAGGGATTTGGCTCCCCCCTTTGAGGGCCAGAAACGGCAACAATGGAACACAGCCAGAAGAAGGTGATTTTCTTTGATGCCACTCAACAATAAGTTTACCTCGCGATTCACTGCTCGGTTGAAAACAGATCAAGACTTTGGGTGAGATATCTCATGAATCACTCTGAACTCTCTAAAAGTCTAATTAGGGTTCTGGCTGGAAACAACCAAGTCGGTGATTTTAGACATACTCATACTACAAGGGTTTACACCCCCGCCAATAAAAATCAACACAAACACAAAGCGAACAAAACAACGGGGCAAGGGACATATTGGTGTACCCAATTCAGCCACTATAAAGTGAGCCGGCCAGAAAGACTGGCAATGTGTCGATGGCTTGAACAGAGGGTACCCCCCCCCCCACCCCCCGCCCCCGCCCCCCAATCAATCCCCAGTTTGTCTGCCCTTGACACGTCCCAATTGCGGGCCCCCGGCTGGATTGATCTCGGTCTCAGGCACTCCGACTCCCACCTGGGATGCTCCAAACTCGATCCAAAGATTTCTGGTATCGCTAGCCCCCGTCCTTTATCCCTGTCTTTTCAAGGGAAGCCAAAGGGTCACCGGATTTCCCCAAACCAAAAGTTGCTCAGCTTGCCGGTGTCCCCCATCTTTTGGTTTAGGTCCTGGGGCCATGGCGGGGAGCCCAGCGAATCATCCCATCCCATGGCTCCCATCCCCTCCGAGGCCCGCGCCAAGGCTTGGGACATGGGCCGCAAGGTCCGGCCCCCGATGTGCTTGAACTTGAAGGCCGCCCACGCGAAGACGATGATGCACACGATGTTCACCAGGTACAAGTACAGGGAGCATAGGCCGATCCTAGGTGTATGGCTCCAAATATGGTGTTTAAGTGGGTTTGAAAGGTTGAACGTTCCTTAGACTGCAAGGTGTATGGCTCCAAATATGATGTTTAGCTGGGTTTGAATGGGTTTGAATGCTTCAGACCATGTACATGGTTTAGGGGTTTATGGTTAACATGGTGTGAAGAGGTTGATGAAAAGCCGAAAGAAAGCATAGCCCGATCCTGCGGTCCAAACAGAAGAAGCATATCAGGCATGACAAAAGAAATCCCCAGACAGGAACCGTCATCATGGGTGATGCCGCAAACTCACTTTGCGAGGTTGCTATAGTTTACCTAGGGTAAACCAAGGGAACGTGAGCTATTCCAGGCAGTTTATGCCCAACAAATCCCTTCAACATGAAGGTCGAGCCGTGTTGCCTTTAGATTCCCTTACACGGTTGCGAACATGAGCCCCATTGAATCTGAGAACCATGTCCATCCCATCCACGGACGTGGTTCAACTTTGCACTGCGAGCGGATGATGCCCTTCCTCTTCGCGGGAGAAAAATGCAGACAACTTTTTGGATGTTCTAAGGGAACCAAGCAAAAACACGTTCTCACCTTATCGGTGCCTATTGCTCGGCGCATTTCATCGCCCAGGGACTCGCTCAGGGTGTACCCTGCTTTGTCCCGCAGAAGCGGGAAAGCGAGCTGAAGCGACCACCTCAGCACACGCGCCAAACGAAAAGAGTGGAAGTCTCTGCTCAGGTGCAAAACCGCTGGAAGCTGGAAACTACCAAACTACCAGCACCCCCCAACGTCACAAACATGAGGACGAAACATGTCAACAAGCTTTCTGTTTGTGAAGAGGTACCAATGATCAAGGCACATCTCAAAAGGGCTCTCTTGCATATACACATGTTCTCTATATATATATATATGTATATATATATATATATATATATATGTTCCAGGCCGTGAACCCCCCCCCTCCCCCCCCCCCAACCACCCCCCCCTGGGGTGGGATGGGGTGGTGGGGTGGTGGGTGGTTGGGTGGTTGGGGTGTGGTTCGGAGTTTAGGCTTGGTGGGTTGGTTTAGGGTTGGTTCAGGGTTGGTTTTTTGGGTTGATTTATGCTTAGGGTTGGGGTTAAGGAGGGGTTGCAGAGTGGTTTGGTTTAGCGAGAGGTGCTGGGGTCTTGGTTCACGGGGTGAAAGGGGGAGTCTGGGACCGAAGCTGCAGGGCCCACACGGTACTGGACAGCATCCCCAGCACTGCCAGCATCATCCCCAATATGCAGATGATGCGGGGGAGTGGGCCCAGGGACTGGTACATATATACACATGCATATATGTATCTTTCTTAAACATCACCCAAAGGAGACGGACAGCGCTTTCTCATCCCCTGAGACAACGGCATCATGCCAGCGTTCACCAGAGGCGGCAGCAGGGAGGTAGAGATGCACACGCCGATCAGGGCAGTTGCCATTCCGCTCCCTTGACCTGGCTCCAGATGGACCGGAGGTTGTAGTCCAAGTTTCCTTTACCAGGGTTCCAGTTTGGGTACATATGTTTGACCCACAGCCAAATGGGTGCGGGGCAGGGGGGGGAGAGCTTCTCACTGAGCAAGTCCGGGATGGCCAGAGGGCCACCATAGGCTTTACATTTTTACTCCCAAAAACACATGTGAAGGACCATCTTCCCAACAGGGAGCCTCTTGGTTCCATGCCCAAGTGGCTCTGCACAGGGCTCCTACATTTCCTAACCTATGAAAATCACGAAGGGAAGCTCACCTTGAATTCATCTGAACCCGAAAGGTGATGATTTCAAGCAAAGACGACATTTGCAATGCATCCCCCGGGAAGGTGTCGGGTTTGCGCAGCAACAACAAAAACCGTCCACGCCTAAGGCGATGGCGACGCCGGAGAGCGCCGCGATGATGCCGGACATTAGGATGTTGCCTGGTTGAGACCACCGAGGGCCTACTAGGGCCTTAGCAAGGAACGGGCCATTTTTTTTCATGGGCATCCGGAATCCCTAGTATGGGGAACCACTCCAAATCTGGCATGCCAAGTCCCTCAAAGAGCAATCAATCTAGACGAGGAAAGTGCCACTTTCGGTCGAAAGGTCGACTTGTGGGCGTTTACCAACCCAATTGGGGCTTACGACTATGCTCGCTTCCCCTCACCTGACGAAGTGTCTCTGCTCCTTTCAGGGTTCCTTTGGAGTCGGGCGCACGCGCGCGCTTTTCCGTTTCGGGATGTTTCGGGCCTGCAGGGGGCCCCCGAGAGGAGATCTGAAGCGTGTTGATGGATATGTAGGAGGTGGCGCTACCTGCGCGGCAATGTCAATACCCGACTCTACCACCCAAAAATCCAGAGCATGTAACGACCCAAACCCGATACTTTGGTAATATTGTCTGTGGCTCATGGGCAAACCTGCGCAAAACATCGAAGAACACAAAGGAGACGTAAACCAACACCTCGTCAAGGACCTTGAGTCAAGGAGTCGAACAAGCACGCACAGCATCAAAGGGTGTCGCACATAACACTTGGTCTCTTTTAATAGCGACCCCCCGATACTGAAACATGCTCTTCTCAAACTCCAAAGTCCACATACTAAACTTACAATTTCCCTGGTAAACCGGTACTCAACCAAATTAAAATCAACACACATCCGAAAACATGACATTGAATTCTGCCGTTGCAACTCAGCATGTCTGACAGTAGGGGGCCCCCCTACATTAAAAGGGTTGGCTTCCTTGTCGTGTCCTGATTGATGCCACCAAATGTCCTCCCCCCCCTCAAAAAAAATAAGAACAAAAGAAAAGGCAAAACAGAACCCCCCCTCCCCCACACCACATTTGTTGCAGGGCACCTTCCAGAAAACTTAAAGGACGCCGACATTTGTGGAAGGTGGATTTTTGCCCCCTCAAGACACAGCCATATGGGTGTAAAGGGGGAAAACAACAATTTGTTGGGTCCCCCCAAAAAAGAACCCCAGATCAAGCAACGGGCTCTTCAATTCCGTTGGGGGTCAATTGAGCCACAGTCCAGATTCAGTGTGTCCCCGGATGCGTGGGATTTTGGTGAGGAAGCCCCCCCCCCCCCATGTGGCGGTGTTTTGGTGAGTGTGACACATGTCATCCCGCAGGCCCAGTCACAGTCGTTGAGGCTCCACAAGTCCAGTGGCCATGGGGAAAAAAGGACACCCCTTTGTTGGTACTTGAGTGTAAAGGGAAACCTCTTCCCAAACAAACAAGCAAAGAAGAGGCAACAAGCGAAGGAAGCAACCCCTAGGCGAAACCGCCTCTTCCTGCTTCATGTTTCAGTCCACCCCAAAACAGCAACATCGTGTTGAGGAGATCCCAGAATTGAAAGAACCGTTGGCTATTGTGAGGGCGCCCGCGGGGGGGAAGGACTACATTGATTTGGCTCTCCGAACGCTAAAGCGAAGGGTTTGATTACTATTATTTAAGCTGAAACAAGGGGCAACCGGGCAGGCAGAAGGAGGGAGCAGTTTGATAAGGGGCAGTCGTGAAGGAAGGGGGGAGGAGCTTGATTGCTATTCTTATGATTGTTCTTTTCAAAGCCAGGGGGGAACACATGCCAGAACAAAGGGCAACCGGGGAGGAAGGGGGGAGGAGCTTGATTACCATGTTTTGTTTCTATCAAACTGGGGAGTGGGTTGGGGAGAGCATAGTCAGGTCGTGGCTGCTGCCCCCCGAACCCCGCCGCTTTGTTTTCTGTGTGCTCCCCGGCCACCTCATGGCCGGTTGAGCGTACATCCGTACGCCGAAGCAAAGGGCAACCAGGAAGTAAGGAGGTGCCCGCTGTTCGCTGTACGGACTAGGGCGGGCTGAGCCCGCTACTTGGGTGGGCTGCTCCCCCCAACCTCTCTCCCGCTTGGCATTTCCATTATTTCCCACCTCCAGGAAAACATAAACATGCATTTCCATGATTTGATTTGTTTGGCGTGCTTCCAGGCCATTGTCTACCCCGACCATACCAGCTGAGTACCAACTGGATGAGACCCACTCCGCGAAGTATCCATTGCCGTGCTGAACGGCTCGCCTCTCCCTTCATTCACCGGAGTGATAAGGTCCCGCTCGCTGGTGAAGCAGCCCAGCACCGCGCCGAAGAGAAAGCCGTAGACCATGCACACCAACGCCTTGGTACCAAACAAGGAAACCAGGGACATGGGAACCGAACACGGATAGCTTCCAACCCAACAAAAGGGTAAATACCTTTCTGTCAAAGTTAATAGGTACCAAAAGGAAACCAGCAAGGAAATTAGATCCCGATTGTGGACCAACAGAACATGGATGGTGTCCCTTCACTCAACAAAGCGGTACCCTTCTGTCATGATGGGGAAACCTCCCAAATGGTGGGTGGACAGAAACCCCTTAAAAGGAAGACACCAACATGGGCATGTGTCAAATAGGGACTTGGACCAACCAAACTGGCTTGTGTTTTTGGGTGTCCCTTTAAACCCGTCAAAACACCCACTCAAACGGGCTCTGGTCTTTCAAACTGAGCTCAAAATGGGGCCCCGGATCCCGATTTATTTTGTAGGGACACCACAAGGGAAATCCTGACCATCTGGCAGGGACTGGGATAGACTTTGAACAACCCAGCCAAAGGCGGAGATGTTTCTTGGAACAGAAACCATGTTCTCAACAGAAGGGTCTTTGTAAAGGCGGGAATAACTTAAATAACTGGCCAACATGGTTGCGCCCGCAAACCCCATCTTCGTGGCAAGGCTTCAAGCCCAACTTTGTCGTTCTGGGTCTTTGACGTGAAACACGCGCGAGGTTTCCTCCAGGAGGAAATCAGTGATTTCGCAACAAGGTCCGGAAAGGACAATCATTGGCAGCCGCTCCCTCTTGAGCGGTCCGACTAATATAGGACAACCATGTGCAGTCCAAACGCAGGAGATCGTCTCAAGACTTTGCAAGTGAGCCACGACTTATCCCGTTTGCGACAGACTTCACTGCCTGACCAAAAACAAACCCTGGTACTCTAGGGCTGTGCCTAATATAATTGCATGTAGAGATCAAAGGCTGTACCTATATGGTTTGGACTGTCCCTTACCTTCAGTTGCCCGGGTTTTGCTTTGTGACTCAGGTCACCGACCGAGTTGCCCTCCAACCCCCACTGGAATAGCCGAATGGGAACCACCCCTCACCTTCAACTTCCCAACCAAATCACCAAATCAGTGGAGGCCGAACTAAACAGGACCATCTCAAACAATACAATTACACATCCAGAACTGGCCAGGATAAGGAACATCCCTGAAAATGCCCAACACTCGAAGCAACGAAGTGGCTTATGACCTCCATACCTGCGGAACCTATATATATATATATATAAACGAGATGTTCGATGCCAGAGGTCCCCAAATTGAAAGGTAGACTCCCCATTCTATTCACCGATTCTTCTTTTCAGAAACCCGTTCCGGGTTTTCTCCCTGAAGGTGCGGCTCTTTGGCCGAGCAGCGCCGAAGCACATATTCCAAAAGCCCCGCGTCGTGAGGTACATGTCTTGCACCGTCAAGCCCCACACGGTGGCCTGAGCTAAGCTCTCACCCATTTAAGGGTTTATCATGTTTTTAGTGGTGAACCACCCAGGGGAAAGGGTGCCACTAAGAAACGTGGTTGGTGGACACTACCATTTGCATGTATGTATGCAACCATAAACAGTTTTTAGAATGTTTCCCATGTGGTTGAACAACGCGGGGTTAGTGATCTTGACCTTTCAATCCCTGAAAGATTGGCTGGAGAAAACTGAATGTTCCTTGCGGCGCGTACTGAACATGTACAGAACCAGGATTACAACATCATCTGAATCATGCCAAGGACGGTCAAGGGAAAAGTGTGCGATTTGGCCAAAAGGCGAACAACTAGACAGGATCGAACAATCCTCCAAGACTTTGCCAAGACGTGGCACCATCGGGCCTTCATCGCGTCTCAAACGTTAAGATTGACCTCGCTTGACCTTGAATTGGCAACGGCCAAAATGCAAGAGGGCAAGTGCCTCATGTTCTTTTCACAAGTACCCCATACTCCGTTGCTGTTGTACTTTCAGTGCCCTCTCTGGCAGGGACGATATGTTTGCCAAAGTTGCCAAAGCGTTTGTCTATCTTTTAGGGGAGTCAGGACAGTGCGGAGGGCCGTGGCCTGCTAGTTTTGTCAGTTTCCAGAGCCGGAACTTTTCACGAGCAGTACAGGAAGCCCTCTGTTCTAAAAAAAAGCCTGTGACTCAAAACTGGTTGTTCAGGCTGACAGAGCACCACTCCGTGTTTTATTGGGAACAACAGCATAGAAACCTGCTGGAAACCTACGTGTTTAAGACAATATCCCCACACCTTTGGTAAAACGTCTCGTTAACAAAAAGAAAGAAAACAAGTCGAAACCATGTTCCTCAGCTTCTTGCTGGCCATGTGCTTGGCATACCCCGCTCACGTGGTAACCGAGGGCTTGAGGCCTTGCTACTATTATGGGGATCTGTCATGCTTCCTTGTTGCGCCATGTCAGCAATCAGCAAATGGATTGGCTAACCAGGGTACGGAAGGGTCTGCTCACCCATGGTAAAGGATCACACCAGTTTGTGGCAAAGAGACTGTCTCTTGCTAACCTCCATCCACTCGGTGGGTGAAGATTGTGGCCCATTTGTCCCAAACACATACATTATGGTTGTGAATCTTAGTTGGGGACCCTTTGGTGGACATTATTTACATTGCGGGTTCATGTCCAACCATTTTTGAGGGGGTTCCCTATTGAAATTCATAGCCATACTGTGGGTGGACGAATCAGAAACCCTAAAATCCCTGAAATGATGATTCCCCCGTAAAAAGCAACAAACACTGGTTTCCTGTCCATTCAAAGTGGTTTTTGGATTTCGTCCCACCGCATTTCGTTGTCGAGTCGAGTCGCAAGGATCATCTGCATCAGGGGCGACACAAAGAAGGCAGCCAGCACGAAGACGCTGCCTCAAGGTGTGGAAGGCAGTGAAGATTCTCTGAGTGGATTGGCCCAAAAAGTCTAAACCCTCTGTTTGCCACGGAAATTGTCTTCCCAAAGAGTAGTCGTGAAAACTGTCACAACTGTAGTGATTCCGTTGCAAGCGACCTCAGAGAATTCAGACAAAAACCCAAATGACATGAACAAGATCTCGGAGCAGCGAATTCCCCTCACAAAAAAAGCCCCCCGCACTTCTTGCCACGTCTTCTGACCACCGCAGGCTGTTGCCAGGTTGCTATCCGTGATCAGGCCAATGGCAGCCTTGAAGGGACAGAGCTTTGGAGATGGACTGGGCTCCCTATATTGCCCTCTACATCCCACTCCAAAGAAAACTCAAACGGGATATACATATATATATATATGGTACCTGCCCCCCCAAAAAAATACATATTATATATATAATTATATGAATGGAACCTTGACTGAAATGGGTCTCGGGTGAGGGTCTGCGAAAAAGAACAGTTCATCATTCAAACGCTGCTTGTTTCCTGCAAGGGGTCACTCGACATAGGCCAAGACTGGTTTCAACCAGATCTGGTAGTACCAGTAGAGATCAGAGCCGGTCAACTTTGCCCTGGTAGCAGGAGAAACCGAACGATCATTTCAGGGTCTGATTTGCAACGGGAAATGAGGGATTGTAGGAACATTCCTTTTTGAAGGTATCGCAATGTGAACATGGAAACAACAAGGGCGTCCCTTACTTACAGACATTCAGACATACCGGACATACCCAAATAGGGTGCTTTTTACAGTACCCCAAAAACTAAGTAAACCTCTCCACAGTCCTTTTGGTAATTTTACCCATGTCCCCAGAGGTAGTGGTTTTGCTGCAACGTCTCTTGCCCTCACAGAGAGGTGCGCTTGAATGCCCAATCTTAGCACAAAAATCCAACAGGAGACCATCAACGCCGGTCATGATTTGCTCACATGAGCAACATCAAGAACACATGTTTACCCAAGGACGTGGGAAGATTTGGACCTCCAATGTCCTCCCCAAACAACCAGTAGACTACCACAAATGTTAGGCTTCTCTTTTGAATAGGGGAACCCACGCAATTTGTGGTTGCCCAGAGTTTTTTCTTTAAACCGTGCCCTACAAGGGTACCAACTCCAACAAAAACGAAATACCCTACATGGCTGCCTTACAAATAGGCGCTTTCCCCAAAATAACGGGTTTCCCTCTGGTTTTTGCGCAAAAAACAACCCAACAAAGGGTGCCGCCTCCAACAAAAACTAACACCCATAGACTTCATGACTCACCCGGTGCGCTGTGTTGAGCCAGCCGAGACGCCATGCCAGAGGCGATGATGATGCACGCCAGGTGGTTGAAGCTCAGAAAGCTGTTGGCCACGATAGCCGTGTGGATCTCCAAGGTGGACCTCAGATTCTGGTGAAATAGGTACGGAGATCCGCTCTGAGTCTTTCACATGGGGTAGACCTCCGGAAAGATGAGTAGGCCGGGTTGGGCCAAGCTGAAACATACTCGATCCAGTGTTGTGTAAACTACCTCCTTTGGGCTTCCCTTTAAGGGGGGCCAAGGTCTACACAATCAAGGAGCGTTTTGATTCGGTGAGGGGTAGGCGGAGTCATTTGGTTTGGGTCTCTTCAATTTCGATGGGGGGGGCCCACGGAATCCAAGAGTGTCTTCCCAAGTTTGCGTTAGTCTCAATATGTCGCAGTAAGGTACCCAGTAGGACTTAAAAGAACCACTTGCTCACCCTCGCTCCCCTTGCCCCCTTGCTTGCTCGCTCTCTTGTTTTTCTATTGGCAAAGCAGCTGTTCAAAGGACGCCAAAACAGGCAGGGTCTTGGCCCATACTGAAAACAAACCATGTCAGGCCTCTATGAAGGGAGTCACAAGCTCACCTGTTCCTGAGCCAAGGAGTCAGACTTTGGCCGCATGGCAGTGCGGGATTTTAGGAAACATGGCACGGGGCAGGAGGCACCAACAGTATCCAAAAGAAATTGCCCAACTCGATAAGACATTTGGGCCCACCTTGGCCCGTTCGACTCGCATTGGATCAAAGTCGGAGTCTTCCGATTTGGTCACTTCACTTGGAAACGAGGATGAGGCTGGGGGGTTCCACCGGTTAATCTGAAAAATTGGGAGTAGGGGAATCCTAGTGGATTGGCCGAACGAATCCAAGCTTTGTATGTTTACCACTGAAATGGTGCGGTCTTGCCAAAAAAGTAAACAAAAAAGAACAGGACCCAGGAAGTGAGTCCTCTTTTTGAGGGAAACGCCTCCTGCCACCAGGTAGATTTATGTGTCCAAGTCTGAAAGCATCGCCAAGCGGCATGCGATGCAAGGCAGTGCTATTGAACTTCTGCCACCTGGGAGCCCCAGTCGCCATGTGCGTTTTGGGTCCAAACAGCGGCAGTGAAACTCACAACCAGCAAAGGAACGCAGCTTGACCCGGTTGGCCAGAGATTTCTGCCACAACAAATTAGATTTTTCCAGTTTGCAAGTTTTGCCCCAAGAAGGAGCCCACCAACTCCCAGAAACGCATCCAAACTCCCAAAATCTTGCCTAGGTCCTCCAGTAGAGAGGTTAGAATAAGGGTGCCCTTTTTAGGTAGTCCATTTTAGTAGACGAACCCTCCCCCAAAAAGGGGTAAAAGGGCACTACTGGGGACCTAGTTGCAACACCCCGAACCAACCCCCGCCCCCTGCCCCGCCTCCTTTGGCATCGGCCCCAGCAGGAGGACGTGAAGGGCTCCGGCGGCTGCGGCGGCTGCTCCGTGGTGCACCGCACCTGCGCGACTTTTTGCCACCGAAGGGCATGGGTGCGTCTTGGGCTCGTTTTTTTTCAGGAATTCCCCAAAATGGATGGTGGTCCTATTGGTGTCCCATTGAACCTGGTCCTATTGGTTTCCCTTTCAAACCTGGGCCTATTGGTTTCCCTTTGAAACCAAGCAAAACCAAAAGTACCCTCCAAAAGTAAGAGATACACAAACTTACAACCCGTGGTTTTTACGGCTAGGCCCAGATGGCCCGGATGCTTGTTGATGGCTTCTCCAATCTCTTTTTGGGGATCCTGTTTTCCAACCACAAAAAGTTTCGTGAACCTCCTTGGGATGCCAAAAAGCCCCCTTTTGTGCCTTGCTGACTTTGAACGCAAGCCCCCTCCCAAAGGTTGAGTGGAATGACATGTTTTGACCCCTGCAAACGGGGGATAATCCCAACACTTGCTCCCTGAGAGGAGCAACAAGCGTCTGAGCTTTTGTCGGTCTTTGGAAGCGACAAAAAGGGATCACTTGTAAACAACCAGCCCGGCTTGGTGGCCCCCCTGTTTAGGCTGCACCAAAGTAAGCAAGAGGAACCCCAAAGGGGCATCAATTGTCTCTTCATGGAACCCTGAATGAGGATCTTGGGGGAGCCTAACTGTCGAAACCAAAGCGGACGACAGGAAACTGGCAGGTCCTAAGGTTGATGCACTTGGAGCAAACAATCACTGAATGCTCTTTTCCAGACCTCCACTCTGAAACCCCCAGCTTGTCCTTGCCATGCTTACGCCACTGCTTGACGCTTGGGCTGCCCTGACGCGGTCGATCTTCAACAAGGCAAAGGTCAAAAGTCAAACCAAACGGCAACTTTCGACGACACCACATCGACTGCAGTCGGGGGTCGAGACCCCAGCATCACTTGCATCCCCAGCATTGAGCAAGCATCATCCCACCGCTCGGCAAGTAAAAGCGGCACCTCTGCCGTGCCCGTTGCTAAACAACCATCACTGACCCCAGAACCGCTGCATAGCTCAGCGTCTGCATCTATCCCAGCATCACTGGCATCCCCAGCATCACTGGCATCACCAACATCACTGGCATCCCCAGCATCGCTGGCATCCCCAGCATCACTGGCACTGCCAACAGTAAAACATCCCGCCAAAAATAATTTCCATCCCTTTCTGGTTTACTTTTTGTAACAGTGACTCTATTTGAGGCACCCAGTTATCGGTTGCTAGCTCAGCTCGCAACCATAGCTCCTTCCACCTCACCATGATCCACCAAAAAAAAAGAAATTGCAGCAAGGTTGGTGGCCTCAAACAATCTCATTTAGACCCCTTGAAAAAAGGCGCACAATTTGTTGCCAACTTCTCTCAGCAAGAGGTCGGACCTAAGATCAACCAAGGTTCACGGCACTGTGTTTTTCCCTCCCAAGACCCGAGCACCTCCAGCACGTCGATGGAGCCGAATGATTCACTGACTCCGAACCTACGCAGTGCAGGATGAACTGAGCTGAGCTGAAAAGTGAGTTCAACTTGTTCTTTGCATTTTGCCCCAGAAAAAGATGAAACGTCGTCTTCGACCCAAACAGTGAAGGCAGCCAATCACCGGGTTTTTCTTACTAGGGATCCCGGGGCTGTTTTGGAAGTTTTTGGAGGGATAGAAACTCTGCAAAATGGTTGTTGGCTGGTTCAAGGAAAATGAAGGATGACTCAACTTCTTTCCCACCATCTCCCATCGTGACTGGGTTCTAAATGGAGGGTCTGGAAGCAAATACATGATCAACGATTCTCCGTCCCGGCTCGGCTTCCTTTGAAGCGCATCAACCAATCATGTTCCAGTCAGGTAAAACAAATACCAATGCCAACTGCGTCCAACTGCTTGTTGTGGTTTTGGTCGTTTTACGGGCCCAACGCACTCCCAATGGCCCATCGCCGAGAAGCTGCTTTGCCACCTTGATCAAGCTGGTCAGGTGGTGAGCGCGGATTTTCAGGTTGATCCTTGCAGCTGGTGGACGGAACTGACCCAAACGCGTCCAAAACAGGTCCTGATATTTTCCCAGGTAGCACAGTTGGATACGTTTGTGATCTCCATTCCACTTTTAGCGGGGAACCTACCAATCCCTCTGAAGGTTTCCTTGTAAGCATCACTCCATCCCAACCCTAACTGGGCAAAGCCTGGGGCTGAGGCCCCCTCAATACCTTAGTTCCCCTGGAGCAACCTTCCGAGAAACTGTATGGCTGCAAGGTCTGGCCTTTCTTCTGGCCCGGGCCCCACCCGAAGGAACGTCAAGCCACTTTAAAGGGCCCAAAAGCAGATGTCAAAGCCAAGCACAGGACAGGGGACAATAGGGAACTTTTAGAAAATTGAAAGGCAGCAGGCAGGCCCACAAAAAGACCTATTTGGACACACACATATATTCACGATTGTCCCCAACTGACATGGGATCTTAAGCAATCTCCAATTCCAAATACCCATGGTAGTTGTGCCGTGTAAGCGGTAGTAGACAGTAAATTCTGACCTTGCTCATATGGAGTAGTGTAGAAAATGAAGCCTGAGAGGCAGGGCTGGCAACCAGCAAGCAAGGCAATTGAAAGTCTTGTAAATCAACGCAAGGAATTGCGTAATCAGAGCAGGGTCCTTTCCCGAGCCGAAGTTCTGAAATATGTACACATGCAAATATAGAGACACAATGTATAATGCGCCGCCACGATTTGCCCAAATCCTGAACTCAGGCGCCATCAACAACAAGACCGACCGCTAGCGTCGAGCCACTTGCTGCATGACATCATAGTTACTTCTTGGCTTGTTCAAGGACAAAGGTCACGTTTTGTTTTTCATGCCATCAACCAGGGCTAGGCCAACCAACTTATGCCTAACTAACTCTTCTTTGAACGTGCGCACTGAGGTGGCAAAAGCACAAGCACAAACATATTGGTTGGTGTTGATCGGGGCGAGTCGCATTTTAGAGGAAATCCGGGTCATTTCTTGGGGAACAAGCCCTCTAAGCTGCAACACTCATCGATCCGGAAATGATTTCGAGGTTCCCCCGACCTGTTTGTCTGGACAATGCGCCCCAGAGTGAGCGCCAGGAGTGAGTGATGGATGACCCAGCAAGGCTTTCCTTTGGTTCCCCTCGCTTCTGTTGAATTTGAGGGTTGAATGCCCATTTTCGGACCCTCCAAGGTCAGCATTCAGGTGTGACATTGGAGTTGATTCCAGGTCCTAATAAACCCCACTTGCCAGGAACAATTGTTCGCGGCGGGGGGGGGGGGGGGTTAGGATAAATTAGGTCTCCTCACGTTTCTTCTAACACTTTGAGTATGTCCCATGTCATGGCCTTCGCAAAAGAACAGACATGTTAACTGTTTGATTACTTAGAAGCACTGAAAGTGATCTTCCTAGAAAGTGTCAAGTGAGTACTGACCGTTGCTCGCCTTTCTTGAGCCTGTGCCGAGACACGTGTGGGTGCGTGTCTTGACGTTCACGCCCGGCGCCCCAGGATGCAGCGAGATCCTATCTACGCACATGACCTGCGCCGGCAGAACTCGGAGGAGGGGCCCTCAGTCTTGAGTGGAGAGCCTGTTTTTGCGCAGAGCCTGGCGAATCGCGTAAAACAAATCAGGGCTTGCATTGCTTCCTCTTGCGAAAGATGTCCCCCTTGTGTTGGAAAACCTGGTGGATTAACAAGGGGCGTTTTCCCCAAGTGAAAGGCCATCTCTGCCCCATACTCGTTGAGTAGGGGATGTTGGTTCTGGGAGTGCCGGGGGAAGAATTTGGATTCTCTTTTTGCAATCCACCGTGTGCACAATTCACAGGTGACGTGCAGGATTGGACATGCCGAACACGAACACCCCCCAGCATGGAGGACTATAGATACCACAATTAGTCATGACTCTTTCAGATAAACTGCCCCACTTACACACACATATAAACGGGTATGTGCCAAAATAGGCGGACCTACTGGCTTCCTGGTTGTCTTCTCTTCGACTCGCCGCTCATGTCAAGCACCTCGAAGTGGTGCGCCATGCCCTGCCCGTGCTCCGCCAGGGCCTGGCCTCGGAAAGGCAACTGCGAAAAACAGATTTGGTGAAGGATGGCTTGGTAGCCTTTTGCTGGGAGGTGTTTTTTGGCAATTTTTCGGGATGCTTGGGAGCCTTTTGAGGATGGTTTTGGGGTGGGGATGGCTTTGCGTACCTCTTGAGGATGGCTTTGCAGGAACATTTGCAACTACTTCTCGGGGATGCGTTTGTTTGGGAGCTGTTTCTTTGGGATGGCTCCCCGGACCTTGGGATGGCTTGGGGAAGCCGTTTGTACCCACCTCTTGGGGATGCTCGGGGGGCTTTAAAACCTACCTCTTGGGAGCCAACCTGCCTCTAAGTGTACGGCTCATAAGCTTAGCCGCCTGAACCTTTCAAGTCTCACTGCTGTTTCTTTTGCAGCGCTCCTTTTCAATTTGGCCATTAAACCAAAAACGGTCAATGGACAAAGGTAAAAGACACACATGCGCGATGCATGTTTCGCTCCGAGAAAAGTTTTTTTTTAATCAAATTACATCTATGGCGTTGAATCTATGGCGTTGAAACCAACCTCTTGGTAATGACTTTGGGGAGCCCTGTGGACCTACCTCTATGGCGTTTAAACCAACCTCTTGGGAATGACTTTGAGAAGCTTTTTGGACCTACCTCTGTGGCGTGTAAACCAACCTCTAAGTTGGTAAGGTTCGTGTCAAGAGACGGCAAGGTGACGTCCCGTGGGACGCTATGCACCGAACCCTCAAGCTGTAATACCAACCACGTAGAAAGGTGTATACGGACGATGCCGTTATAGCCGAACCCGTGTAAACGTTGTAAGGGAGAAGGAATGATAGTTACAACAGTGGTCCTGACAAATGCAGCGCAAGCAATGAGTTTTCGCTCTCAATGCCGATCACGTATGTATGCAGTCACACATCAGATCTTGAACCTCAATTGTGTCTTGAGCCAAATGGCGATCAATGGAACTTGGGAAGCAACACCAACAAGGACCTCAGAACAGCTACCCAATTTCGGCACGGGGCCTAGAGGGTTTTAACATCCCCCATTTGGGTCGCATTGTTCATCATGCGGTCCAAACACCACAAAACGTTCCACTGGCCACGGCTTCAACTACGAAATCGTGTCGTGCATTCTTTTACTTGCTATCACTACACCGTTCATTCGCTGTGAAACATGCCGGGTTCGATTGTATGAAAAGTGAAACATTCATCCTCCAATCGAAGCACACATCCATATGCAGGTGTATATAATACACAATCGTCACGTCATTTGACCACCAACGAACAATCCAGCTGCCGCATTTGCGCATCGCGCAGCTGTCATCCATAAATGGGTTGGCCACAAAAGTCCATCAGAGGGGCCTGCTCGTGATCAATCTGCATATCTCCGGCAAGGAAATATCGGTGAGCAATCAATGCAAATCATAGCCATTCCAGATACCATGGACAATGCATAAATAATGAAAAGGAAATCATCCATGAGGTAATAGTTCCATCCACGAATATCCGGAATGTCATAGTCGTCGGAATATGTAACCATGTACACATCCATTCAACTTGGATACATGAAATCATATCATAATGTAAAGTCGTTCCATCGCAATGGTGTTGATGAGACGCAAGCAACAGATGGGGACTAACCCACATCGTGCCGCAATCAGCATCTTCACTACGCATACCGGTCCCCAATGGACAGTCTGTGAGTGCGTCGACGGAACTCCTCGTCCAAGTTCTTCTGGGCTTCTCGTGCCCGGACACACTTCTTGCTGTAATCCTCTGGTAGCCAGTGCCCTTTCCGAAGGCACCAATCCAGCAGAGGTGTGTCACACTTGTTCGGGTCGACGGCCGAGATGATGGCGCTCACGTTGACCGCGTAACCATATTTGCCAAGGTTCAGGCCATCCCTCACGAATGATATATACTTACAGTTGAAAGCCAGTGCAAAGCATCTGAAAATAATATCACCCACCGGGTGCACTCGGTCCTTGACCAGGAGCTTCATTTCGTCCTTGGTGACATCGAGGATCCTCGCTGCGATCCACAGCTTGTAGAATGTGTAAAGTCCCTCGCATTTGCACACCATCATACGAATATATTCGTCACGCTCCTCAACCGATCGGAAGGCTCTTGTCCGAACATTCTCCGATTGAGAAATCTTCGTTATTGTTGATGGCAAAAGTATACCTTCCTGATCATGCTCAGTCATGTTGGGGTATCTCTTGAAGTCATTGTGGTAAGGGCAGCCCGGTCTCCCCTCGAGTTGGGCATTCATCGTTCTCTCCTCACCCTCGAACATCCCCCACATCTTGGACATCTGGAGTGCGATAAACCCTGCCATGTACTGAGCCTCACGCGGCTCGTCAAGGCAGATCGCCATCCGCTGGGAATTTATGATATCCCGTGACGTCAGATCAGTGTCGCGGTAATACCAACCGCTGTCATCCTCTTCTGACGCATATCCGGATGTATATCCTTGCGTGTCCATGTCGTCTTCTTCTCCCGGAACTTCCTCCGCTTCGTCATCATCCTCCTGTGCCGCCGCACCGTGGTTAGCTTCTTCCTGTGCGCGCTTGGCATCTCCCGAGACGTTGGGGTTTTGATTGTCCTCCTCATCGTCGGAGTTGACGTGGATGTAGTACCTCCCGGTGGAGATCAGTTGCGCCTCACATTCCAGGCATAAGCAGAAGCAGGTGGGGATCGCGGTCGCACACGATGGACATATCCGGCATCTCAGTCCTTCCCATGTCTCATCATTCAGGATGACGACTTTGCTGATTTCGTCCCTGACCTCGTTGACCTGCGCGTTGAACTCCTCCATCTTGTTGTTCCGATAGAGTTCGCATGCACGATCAACCATGTCCCTGATGTAGTGCAGATTATCGGCACCTGTCTCGGTCTCGGGCATCCTCTCGCTGATCTTTGTGACGTTCTGGAGGAACATCGCAGCCGACTCTTGGGATGAGTTGACGAAGCCAGGGCAGATCTCGTTCTCCACACACTTCGAGTACGCTCTCTTGACATCAACGTACTCCATGCATTTCCCTCCGTTGCTTCTGCCAATCCAAATGGACTTGACCTCATAGAACGGGACCACGTCAAAGACCATGAAAGTCCCATTTGCCGCGACTCCAGCTCCATACCGCGCGAGGGTTGCACTGGGAATGTAGATGATCGCAATCGGGTCCCCCTTCCTTACGTTCCGCAGCGTCACCTTCGTTGCCACGTTCATCTCATCCCATGGAGCAAACGCTCCGAAGTGCAGTGCTAGCCTGTTACCGCCATCGATTCCGCCGGGGACTAACCCACAGCGTACGATGCTTGGCAGATTTTCCACATACGTCACATGGAATGCTCCTCCGAGAGAATCACCCATCCTTGCGGAATACCTATTTGCCAGTGCGGATGAGCTCATGAATCCAAAATCACTGTGACCAGTTGTGACTCGGATGCACCAAGGTCTGTACCATCCATCGCATCTGTTGAACATCCTGTCGATGTCGTCCCGATCCATGCCATGGTCATTTCCTCCCAGCTTTGGTCATTTCCTCCCTGGCCGCCCTGGTGTCGTTCGGGTTCATGATGCTTGGAAACCTTGCTGCCAGGACCTGGAATCTCGATTTCTTGCTTCCAGATTCCTGCCACTTGATCACCTCCATGATGCCCATGTATCGCTTCGCTCTCGAGGTGCCTGGCGGGAATATGTCGTTGTTCCGGTCGTCAATGACTGCATCAATGTCGACCCATCCACCTTCGTCGCACCTGAAAGCACTTCCTCGGCAGCTGCCGATCGTGTGTCGAAGGACTCGGCATAGGTCATGAGATAGCTGGTTTGCTTGGTCTTTCGTAGCAAATACCGAGCGATCATCGCCAATCCTGCACAGTGGAGCGCCGTCAAACGGAGCAACGCAGAAATTGACACTCTTGCCAAGCTGCATCACGTCCACCTGCTCAAGGATGGCACCTTTGGGAAAGTATTTGGGGTCAACGATGGACGCATACGCCCATGGCAAGTGCACATCACTCACGTCGCCAAACTTCGGGATGTAGCACGGGATGGTGTCGCATCCCATCTCAAGCGTCTTCTTGAATGTCCTGTTGTCCCCGCACGGGTTGTAGGTGAGGTCCACGCCACCACATTGTAGCTCTCCTCCCTCTGCCGTGTCAGCCATCTCCACCAAGTTGATGGTATAGCTATACATCTCAATTGTTTCTTTCCCTGCTTGTCCTCCTCTCTTTCTTTCTTTGGACGTCGATGAGGGCGGTTCCTCCGCATCCCCCATATCTTCATCCGATGACACGGGATCACTGCTGAGTAGCTTACGGAGCATCTTCATCGCTTTCTCGTTGCCAGCAGCCTCCTCAATGTCTTTGCAGTCGCCGTCGTGGGCCAGGTTCGCGCACTTCTTACAGATTCCCATTTCTCCCATGCACTTCTCCATTGACTCCAGGAATCCTAGTGCCGCTCTCCGCCCGTCGATCACTCGCTGCTTCTTTTCTTCCTTCTCAGCGTTGGGCTGGGAGCTTCGGCTCGGGTCTGGTGCTTGACCAAGACCGTCACCTTCGCCCTCCATTGCCTTTCTCTTGGACCCTTGGGCAGCAGGCTCGGTTATCAGGGATCGCGGGTGTCTGGGCTTGACCTTGTTCATGATGTCCAGCACTTCTTTCGTGGGCGCCCCGAGTTGTGCGGAGGGTTTGTTCCGCTTTCGGTTCTGGCCCGTCGTGTGGGTCACGTTCCCGGCGAGGTGTCGTACGATTGACTGCTCGAACTCCCTCTTGATCTT